GGGCGAAATAGCGTCCTCAAGAGAAGGATGCCTTTCCAAGGTCTGTGGACGAACGCCTTTTCCAAAGGTCTCTAAACGAATGCCCTCTTCCCGTTCCGCGAGGTTTCCTAGTCCCCGCGAAACTTGAGGCCCTAGGGTTGTTTTATGGCCCGGACGTCAGGCCTCTACCCCGCGATGGTCGTCGTAGGACGGCCATGTGCCCGTCGTCTCTGCTTTGTTAGGGTGAGTCACTGGGATTTTCTAACAGATAAAACAGGAGAATCTCGGTGAAAGGGGTTAAAAACGACAGAGCGAAATCGTCGCGAATCGCGACGACCTTGTCGGTATCGCGAATCGTTCTTAATCCGTTCATTGACTCCGGTTCGACGTACGCTAAGTTCGCCTCCCGGTACGCGGACGGAACGACGCGACGCTCAGCGGTCAAACTGTTTTCTCGACGATCAAACGTGCTTTCAGTTTATCGTCGAACGCGGTTTCCAGCTCGCCGACGCGATTCGATTCGCGATCGTCGCGATGCGATGCTATGCGGCACGGTGCGACGCGAAACGACGCGAAACGACGCGAAACGACGCAACGGGGCCGCGTTTTTTTAATTGGCAGATGGAGAGGCTCGATATCAATCGGTGCTGCGTAAAAGGTGCGCGATCGTTGTTTGCTCTCTTCGCTCGATGTGTTCCCTCTTTAATCTCTTCTCTCGGTAGCATCGCGAACAAACGCTATCGAAAGAGAAAACGAGCGAATATTCCACGAACGAACGAACGAACGAACGAACGAACGAACGAACGAACGGATAAACGGACGGGTATAGAGAGTAAAAAGAGGATGTTTCTTGGTCTAATTCGCGATCGAATCGGGCAGTGTGCTCGAGCAGCGCGATTCGAAACGCGGACGTGGGCGAAAGTCGAACGAGAGCGGCTCGAAGCAAAGCGGAACTCGAGTTTACATAGGATGACGCGACGGTCGTTATGCTGGGTAAACTGGAAATCCCGTGCGAATCCGGTTCCTTTTTCCTCGGCCGAGATTTCCGTGCGTCCCGACGTCGCCGTAAACGCGAACTCGACGATTTCCGCTTGGTTCCCTCGAGAAAGCGGCGGTCGTGTTTGAACGCGTCAATTTCCGAATACGTTCGTCTCGGGGCGAGGGCATTACGCTCGCATCGAGCTCTAGCTCTTTCCGCGATCGTTGACTCGCTTAGATACGCGTGTCGCAGAAATTTCGGCGAGTCCGTTCAGGCGCGGAACGGCGGAGAAAGTAACGCGTAAGCGGGAACGCGTTGGAAAAAGGGGAAGAAAGGACGAAAGCGAAAGAGTGGAAAAAACGGAAAAAGCGAGAGAGCCGAGAAGGGCAAAGGGCGCAAAGAGATCGGTGGCAACTCTCTGGGAGAGAGGGTGGTGACCGTGACGCGAGATAAGGCCGAAGCGCGATTTTAAATTGCCTGCCATCCGTCTCTGTCCGCGTCCGATCCGACCGCTGTCGGAACTGTCTCATCGCGATTATCGCGTCACGGCACACCGCTTCCGTTCCCTTTCATTCCGTTTCATTTCGTTCTCGAAAGCGTGTCCGAGTTTCGCTCGCGCCCGCCACCGCATCGACCGCATCGCCGCGACTACGTGGTATATCGCGGAGAACGATCCGAAAGCGTGCCGAACAATTCGAATCGAACGAATTCTCCTCGATACGGTTATCCGCGAACGAGAAAACCGAGAAGACGAAACGGTCCTCGTCGTTCTGGTAGCCGTCGGTGTTCAAAGTCGGAACACTTCAGACTTCCGTGTTTACGGAACGCGAGCGACAGCTTGACGGCTCGCTTTTTTCTTCCTTGTACGCGATTCCTTTTCCCTCGTCAGCCGCTTTCCTCGCTACCCGCCTCGCAATCTACGCTTTGCCGACGGAAATGCTTGCTCGTTCTCCCTTCTCTTCCTTCGCCTCCGCTCCAACCTCTGTCCTCCCACCCCCTCTTCGCCTTCCCTTATTCCCTTACCTTTGCCCTCTTTACCTTCTCTCGGCCTTTTCCGTTCGACTCGCTGCCTCGTCCCGCGTATCCCTTTTCCTTTTCCCGGTCCCGTTCTCTTTGCTCCTCGTGTTTGCCGCAAACCACGCACGGAGTCAAACGATCCTTTTCCGTAACGCGTATCGCTGCACGCCGTTTCGAAATAGACTCGTCTCAAGCTCGAACTCGATTTCGAGTTGCCGGTATCCTCGTTCGGCCGACGAGACGCTATACCGTGCCTGAAAGATCGACTACGAGTAGCGTGGCACGAACGAAAGAAACGGCTGGTGTCCGCTTGTTGCGCGCCAGCCACCGAATAGTTTCTTTCGCGCGGAACGACAAGGGGCGAGGAGTAAAACGCTCGAAAGCGTCTTTCGATCGCGACTAATCGAACGAAAGGAAGAGCGGACGGGTGGTTAGACCAGGAAACGAACGAACCGTCGCGTCGCATCGATCGAAAAATTGCCAAGCCGAGTCTAGCTTCCGATTTGCTTTTTCTTCCCCTCTTTCCTCCGATTGTTCGACGATTAGGAAGCACCGAACGCGAATCTGGACAGAGGGAAGGTGAAAAATCGCGAGTTTTTCCGTGAAAATCCTGATTTTCGACCTTTCGTATAGAAAGGAGGAGGCAGAGTAATTACGCGAGTGCTGGCCGCGTTCCGTACGACCTTTCGGAACGTTCCGAGGCTAAAGCTTTTCATGGAAGCAACGCGCGAAAACGCCGAGGATGAACGTGCTCGAAAAACGTACGATGCCGATTAGGATGACGTTGCCTTCGTTCGCGAACAGAAACGAAACGGCGACGACGGAACAGAGAAACGGGTTGTTCGCGAGAAAATAATAAAACGTAATCGGACATAGAACGACCGGAAAGGGATAGTTGGGATAAATCTGTCATTCGCATCGGTTTAATTCCGTTAACGGATTATACGCGAATAATTCTGAGCACTTTTTTCTGCAGCTTTTTCTCGAACAGGGAGCAACAACCCTGTTTCGACGTTTCTCCTCGCGTTTCGCCAATTGACCTCGTTGATAGTCCCATAAGTCGCATAAATACGACTCGATTCCTGTGGGAGGAGCAACCTCCGAGTCGAGATTTTCTTTTGATCGCTCGTCGAACGGCCGTGTACTTGTCCCCGTTTCTTTCGACGCGAATCAAATTGACGCGACGCGACGCGACGCGTTTGCGCTTCGGTTCGCAGGTGAACGGACAAGACGTGTCGAACTCTAGTCACGAGGATGCGGTGCGTTGCTTTCAATCGGCCCAGGAACCGATCGTCGTCGAGGTGCTTCGCCGGCAGTCGGTGGTGCACGGACAACGAACCGCGTGGAAGGAGCAGGAGAGAAACGAGGAGAAGACGATCGAAGCGAACAAGAGGGAACAACAGCCGGTGAACGTTTGTCCGACTTTGGTATCGACCGCGGTGCAGACCGATTGGGCCGGTCTCCTCGAAGAAGCCGAAGAGGAGATGTCTCTCGACGCGAACGACCAACCGAACGACGCCTTCGAGCATTTCCTCGCGCACGACATCGATTTCGAGGTACGTCCATTTTCGAGATCTCGCGCTCGATTAAGTCGATCGCGTCGATTACGTCGATTACGTATACGAGCAAACGATTTCTGTTACGCAGGAAGTGACGTTACGGAAAACGGGAAGCGCCGAGAAGCTGGGACTCACGGTGTGTTACAGCTCGGGCTCGGGTAGCGAGGACGCCGACACGGAGGTCTACATCTCCGAGATAGTTCCGGAGAGCGTGGCGGCGCGAGACGGTCGATTAAGGGAAGGCGACCAAATATTGAGGGTAATTACCTTATCGATCTCGAACGATACAAGCGATTTTCTTCTCTCGTCTCGACGATTCGCCGCTAGACGGAACGACGAACGCTCATTCGATTAACGAACAACGCGTCCGACCAATTCCTCGCGATATCCTTCCAACCTGCTACCCTTCTAATCTCGTTAGGCGGATCGTAATTGCGGACAAAGTGGTCGACTCGAGGGAAATCGGATGAAAAAACGAACGCGACGACTAGGCGCGCGACGGATTTGCTATGGACCGTCGGTAAGCCGCGTCGTTCTCGTTTCAGGTGAACGGAAAGGACGTGGCGAACAAAGAGCAGACGGAGAACCTGTTCGCCGAGACGAAGAACGCTGTAACCATTCTCGTCAGTCGATGCCTCTATCAGGTAAAACAGAAATTTCCTCCAACAGCCCGAACTTTCCTCCTTTCTCGCCAGTTAGATAACGCGTTTCTCGATGTCTGTTCGTAGGACGACGAGTACGAGGACAGACGCGCTTATCGTCGGGTGAGTCTCTCCTTCGAACTTCGATCGGTACCACTGCTCGCGCGATAAACCTCGCGATTCCCTCTAAACTCTTCACCCTCGACGATCGCTCTCTGTTCAGGGCTCGCCGTCTTTCTCGCCGGATCATCTACCCTCCTACCAGAACAGTTTGATCGAACAGTTGATCCGGCAACAACAGCAACAAACGGAAGAACGTACCAAAGAAACGGAACAGGACGGTTCCTCGTTCAAGCCTCCTCCACCGGTGCCCTCTCACACCGGCTCTACCACGATCGTCACCGTCGCCACCGCCGCCGCCATCGCGACCACCACCACCGCCGCCACCACCGTTATCACCACTACCGCCACCACCTCCTCCTCGTCGACCTGCTCCTCGTTAAACTCGCAAAAATCCGGAAGAAACGCAACGTCGCCGGCCCGTCAAACGGATCACGATCGCAAACAAATCGTACCGGAAGCGCTCAAGGACTGTTCGAAAAGGATGGAGGGGCTATGCTTGCGATCGAGTCAACAGTCGTCAAACTCGAACTGTGCCGGTCCAGGCTCGGTGAAACTGGCCGACGCTTATTCGAATCACGCGTGGAACGAAACGGAGCACATCTACGAGACGATACCGGAATCGGACAGTGAACCGATCTACTCGTCTCCGTACGAGCATCGTCACTGGCCCCAGTCGAATCATTGCGTCGCGCTCGCGACACCGACCACTGCCGCGACCGTGACCGCGACCGCGACCACGACCCTGACCACGACCCCGACCGTCACCGCGTTCGCGAACGCCTCGCTGCCGATAACGTTGCCGATAACCACGATTTCGACGACGAACGCGAGCGTCGTTCCAACGATCGTTCCACAGATCGGCAGATGGTACTGTTCGTCGAAGAGCAACAGCTCCGGAGAGGAGAAGGACAGTTCGAGCGCGTACAACACCGGTGAATCGTGCAATAGTAATCCGCTGACGTTGGAACTGCAACGAGGCGAACGGGACCATCACAAAAGCACGTTGGTCCTTTGCCCGCCTAAAACGCCAACGGCGCAACAACAGCAACAAAGACTGGCTTGCACTTGTCTCGCGTCCGCGAACAAACAGACCAAGAGTCAGTCGACGAGAAGAGGCTCGGGCGCTCATCATTTCAGGGATAGGGGAATAGTCGATCCGACGACGACGAACTCCACCACCACTACCA